CCCCTCCCACCCCCCGGTTGTAAGTCGGCAATAGTTGCTCGCCACATGACTACATCCCGCCCCTCCCCTCTCTCCAATTGGCCTCCACTCACTCTTTTCTGCTTCCTCTTGCATGTGAATTCCTTCCGCCTCCCTCCCCTCCTCCCCCTCCCCCTCCCTTCCCCCCTTCCCCCCCTTTCCCCCTCCCCCTCCCTTCCCCCCTCCCCCCCTTTTCCCCTCCCTTCCCCCCTCCCCCCCTTTCCCCCTCCATTCCCCCCTCCCCCCCTTTTCCCCTCCCCCTCCCCCCTCCCTCCCCGCCTCCTCCCCCCTTTTTCCCCCTCCTGCTGCTCACCGCGGTGATACCCGCCTCCACCATGCCCGAAGATTCCATGTGGTACGACACGTCAAAGTCACTTTTGGGGTCGGTGTACGCGAAGCTGAAGGCAATATCGGCGGGCACAGCCGCTGCCTTAACCCGAACCTGGGTTCAGAGGGGGCGTGAAGGGGGGAGGAGGAGGAGAGACACACGCGCGCATACACACACGCAGGCCAGCGACACGGCCGGCAATGCACCAAAAAGGGGAGAGGGGTCACCGGGGGCGGGTGGTTTTCTTAGGTGGGTTTTGGCGGGAAGGAAGCGGGACGCAACTCAACAGGACACACACACACATATATACAGCACATCCTGTCCTCGTATCGCGGCTCAGATTAACCAAAACACACACAACGCAAATGCAGCAGCTCGGGAAAGGAAAGGAGGGGCGAAACGCGTGTCGGAATTACGCTCGTGTTACATCCCCAGACTTTCCTTTCCTTCCGGCTCACTTCAATACTTAGAATATACCAATACACAACGGCAAACAGACACTCTTACTTTAAAGCTCTCACGGCTCGTATGTATACGGGCCCTGGATAATGAAGGAAACAACGCAACACCAGAAGATGCAACACACATACATACATACACATACACAGTGCCCCCCCCGCACCTGGACGTCCCGGCTCTGAAGGAACCTGATGGGCCCCGGGTTGCGGGTGGTGAGCCTGATGAGAGGGGAGAGGAGGGGGAGAGGGGGAGGAGGGGGCGCGGGGAGGCAACAGCCGGGGAGGGCTGGGTAGAACTACTGTCCGTAACGTGGTTCAAGAGGTCCCAGGTTCGAATCCTGGGAGACTCATGACGTTTTTGACGTTTCTGGAACGTGAGACTAGAGTATGGCTAGGTGCCAAGAGATGTAGGTGAGCTGCGGTCGCGGTTGATGATAGACTGCTGGATTTCACGCGCAGATACGACCCACGGGTCGGTCTCGAATCGTAGCTCTCACTCACCCACCCACCCACGCACCCCCTCACCAGGAGATGTTCCTGGCCGACGTCTTCCACGGCCCACAGTCATCACAATCCGTCCTGAGCAAGGAAACCAGGTGTCATGGTGTCACGTCATGTCAGTTACATGTACGACAAATGTGTATCTGAGAAAGACGGCGTTTCAGTTGTACGGCACACAAGGAAAACGAGCGACAGCGCATCCTTTGGTGTCAACGATGCGCACGCATAACCTTCCTGTCTACGAAGCTCCCATTGCGGTACGACGACCCGTACATGTGCCCTTTTGCCCTGTTAATACCCTTTCCCCCCCCCCCGGGAACACCCGGCTCCGACGCCGGCTCCCTGATACCCCCGGAGTAGCCCCACACCACCATCCCACAAAACAAAAACACCATCCCACAAACAACATACCACCTTCCCCACCCCCATCCCCAACCCACAGGCCTCCTTCCCCCCGCCAAAACCCTGAGACCCTAACCCCAACACCACCACGGTTGGGGCCCCCCACACACACCCTAGGTCGCAATACGCCATCACGAAGGGCGCGTTGTTGGCCGCCACCTTGCCCGGCCTCCCCTCCTCACAGACGCCGTTCCTGGCCTGTTGGAGGTGGAGGTGGAGGTAGGGGTAGCGGGATGTGTGCGTGCGTGTGTGTTTGTGTGTGTAGTGTGTGCATGTGTGTTTGTGCAAAGTGAAGGTAACGTAAACCGACGACAAGAAGATGATGATGACTGTATGATTATGATGACGTAACATCATGGACCACATCTCCACGGCCGTGTGCAAGACACGCAGGAGCATGTGCGGTGGCTCTCGCTCGTGTCGATTTCCGTACGCCCCCAAAACCCATCAGCCACATGCTTCGCGTCCTTTCCCGCGATAGTGGGGGCCCCCGCCAGGCACCACTGATTGGCCCCATACAGCAGCAGCAGCAGCAGCAGCGGCGGCCCCGCACGGCACCCCACCCCACCCCATACCACCAGGGGTTTCCGAGATTCGCCAACATCTCTTATAGTCACTAGTCGTATTATCGACGGCGGCTCGCACAGTACTGGGAACGCAATGCTCTTGCGGGTGTCTAACCTAACAAGAAGACGCCGCCAGCCCGGCCGCCTCTTCCCTACACCTGCCCTCCCCCCTGGTTCGTCCCCCTAACCCCCCTTCCGACAGCACCATCCCAGTGCACCAAGGCGCCCTTTTCAGTGCGGAGAGAGAGGAGATTGTTCCTCCGTTTAAGGGGGGGGCCCAGAGCTGGCGGGGGCGGTGTGGGGTGTGTGGGAAGAGGGGAGGGGAGGGGGTGTTGTCCGCAGTCCCAGGCCGCGTACCTTTGAGCAGGTGTTCGTGCACACCTCCTGCATGGCTTTAGTCTGAGTTGCAGCGGCGGTTTGCAGCCGCCGGTGGGGACCGGCCGCTGCAGAGCTAGCGCTAGCAGCAACTGCGGCTGCCCCCGGGGCGACTGGCAGGCCTGTACTTGTGAGGGGGGCGTGCGGGAGTTGTGGTGGGAGTAGGGAATGTGGTTTGGGGGTGATAAGGGGCTGTGATGAAAGGATGGAGGGAAGGAAGGAAGGAAGGATTGGAGCTGGAGCCCGGCGGCGTGCGGTGTTTTGGGTCAGCTCCCTTGGTGGCTGAAAGTGGCTTTGGTGTAACGCAAAGCGGCAAGTTTAAAGGACGAGGATAGGCAGGGAGATGGATGTGAGTGGGAGGGTGGAACAAAGGTTGCTTTCGGGCGCGGTCAGGCAGGGAGGGTGAGAGGGGTGTTGGCCCCAGGGCGGATGGAGCAGGATCTCATGGATTTGAACTTGAATGAGGCCGATAATGGCGCAAGCAGGCAGGAATGTAAGGAGGGGATGCGAGTACTACGTAACCAGGAGATGCAACCTGCTTAGAAGGGTGCGGCAATCAGCTCACCCAGGGCTAACCATCCGAATAGAGCTAGCAGAAAGGTTGTTTGAAGTTTACACATAATAGCAAGCTGGGCGCGACTTGTCCGTCAAAAGAACTGCCGGAGAAACGCAAGGAGAGAGAATGCGATGAAAAGATCGATGCCGATCTACTTATTTTTTCAAGTTACGCAAGCTATAGCAAGCAAGGCGCAACTGCTTGCTTGTCTGTTGCTGTCCTATTCTGTTGCAAGCAACTCGCTCAACAGGGGTCGTAAGTACTCCACGAGAGCAAAGAAAGCTTCCTACGAGGTAAACGTAACATGCCGTATGACTGCGGCGTCGTTGCTTTGAACTTGACTAGCTTCGGAGCCCAAGCCCTGGCGTGCCCGATCAATTCACTCCTGTCAATTTACATAGATTACTTGTCCGGGAACCATTGCAAAATATGATCATTTATTGCTGTCCTGGCCTCGTTGTGGCAACTTCATAATTAGGAAACCAGCGTTAGCAAGGGCTAGCTGGGTATAATTCTGGTAGTGCAATCATAGAATGGTAAAGATGCCAACTTTGGAAATGATTACTCTACTATTTGCTCCTGTGGCAGCTACGGTTTGCGTCGTCGACGTGCGGACAAGGACGATTTCCATGAACTCAGCCTCACTGCGCAACAATAGTTTAACAGTTTGCGTCTGAAAACCGTGTATAAAGCAATTGCCTGTGCCATCAGCTGACGAGGCTTCACCACGAGCATTTCTCATAGGCAAGCATACAAGAACTGATATGTTCTCACAGACCTTGTAACACTACGAGTTTTTGACAAGCGCTACATCTTACAAATGGAGATGTTAAAATATAAGCTTTGCGGTTTCTTCTGCCATGAAGCCGTACGACATCTTCGCGAGGATGCAGGCAACATTTGTAGATTTCAGCATCGCGCAAACTCTCCACCCTAATAAATAAACTTTCACCAAGGTACTGCAAGCCCTGCCCCATATCATGCTCTCCGCGAAAGCCGTGTCCTTGAACGCTGTCGCTTCACACAGCACGCCGAGCGTGTTCTTGACAGCTTATCCCAGCACCCCGCATAGGCATCGGAATCTCCTACTGCCAGAATTCAACCGATTCAGCTCTTCCAGGGCGTGCACGCCACCCAGCCTCAATACGGCGACGCCCTCCAAGCCTCTCTATCTGGGCCTTGACTTTGGCACATCCGGCGCACGTGCAGCCGTCATCGATGGTAAAGCTATTTCCGCACTGCTAAGCCTAACCACGTCCCCGTCGGAGGCTGCTGACCGGTGCTGTACACCCATCCCACGCTCGCCACACGCTCCCCCATAAGCTTCACGCGCCATCACATGTCGTATCATTCAGTTTCCATGCCTTGACATCCAAGGCAAACTCCCCCGCTAAGTCCCAGCCCAGTCCCCAGTGGCCCGGTGTGGCTTGTGGAGTCACATTAAGCGGCGTCTCACACCGGCACCGTCCCGTGGGTCAGTTGTACGTCCAAACCCACACCACATACCGGACACAACAAAGGGCAGCACCGGCAGCACCCCCTAGCCGCAGCTCGGAACACCTCCCCCCTGTTTGAGCCCCTGCCACCAAAGGCCGCACACCGCCGCTGCCGCTTCCCCCCCTTCTCGGACCCCCACCCACCCCACCTCAACCCATCGCCCCAACCCCACACCCTCGCCCCGCCCCACCTACCGCAGACGAGGGTCGTCTGGTTCAGGATGTCAAGCGGGGCTATGGGGACGGAGCGGCTGCGGACTGGGCTAGCGCCTGGAGGAGGTGAGGGCGGGTGGTGGGTGGGAATGGGCGTGGGGCCCCTGGCGGCGGGGTGGAGTCCTAGGGGTCCAAGGGGGAGAATGGAAACGTCGTATTCAGGGAAGGTTTCAAAACGTCGATCAGGTGGTCGATCAGGAATGCCAGCCAAAACGACTCCGCAAAAGGCCGCAAAAACCATTTACAAAAACAAAAGGCGCATGCCTAGCATCAACACCCGCCCCTGGTTGCATTTCGTGTTCAAGTGATTCCCAGTCATGAAAAATGAGGGGCTGGCGGGGAACGAACGGAATGAAGGACGGGACATCAAAAACTGGCACTGAAGCCCCTGCTGGGGCCGAACCGAATCAGGCGAGCTGCTGGCTATGTCGCTGCTGCTGTGCCCAGGCGCTGGTTTCGGGTGACTGTACGAAACCCCAGAAATCGCGTTACTTCCTTTTTTAAGCTCTCGTCCTTATTCCCCTTCTTGCTGACTAGCTTCCTGTCCTCAACAACCTCAACCAACCGATCCCCGCCAGGGTCCTGTACGAGCTGATCCACTCGCTGGATCCTGCCGTACGTTCATGCGTTACATCGGTGGCGTTCGACGGCACCTCCGCCACCGCGCTCCTGGTGGACCCACGGGACGGCACCCCCCTGGCGGCGCCCAAGTTGTACAACGAGGCGCAAGCCAAGGAAGTTGTGGCTGCGGCAAAGGTACGGCAAGGTAATTCCTTCCAGGGCACTATTTTTTACGGAAAAACCGTGTGTCATTAATACACATACCCACGGATCGCCCCGAAACCAAGCCCGCCCACCATCAGATATTCTCCCGCCGCTGCCGCCCGCCTGCAGTAGCAGGTACGACAGCTAACCCTTGGCTTCTTGCGCCCCATGCCATATGCTGCTGCCCCCAACACCCTCCTTGCGCCCCATGTCGCTCGCCAAGGCCTTAGCGCCCCCAGCCCACACGGCCACGGCGCCCACCTCCACGCTCTGCAAGATCCTCGGCTGGTGGCTGGGGGTTGGCACTGGAGGTGTTGACGGAGGCGACTGGCGGCGGCTCGCCGCAGAGCGCGGCTTGGCGACGCCAGGACCTGCGTGCCCTGTTGGGGCTGGTGAGGCGGCGGCGGCGGCGCCGCCGCCGCTGCTCCTGCACCAGGCCGACTGGCTGGCGGCGCTGCTGCACGGCATGTACGGCAGCGGCATCTCGGACTGGAACAATGCGTTGAAGCTGGGGTACGACCCGGAGACGGAGTCGTACCCGGCGTGGCTGGCAGAGCAGGTGGGGGCAGTGGGGGGGGTCCTGGGGGGTTGGAGAGGGGGGGGCGGAGGGGAAGGGAGGAGAAGTCTGAATGAATGTTCAAACCTGAACGCAATGGAATCTTTGAACGGAATGTTTGAAGCGAAAGGAGTTCAATGAGAATTCCCGGTGCGGTAAAGTTACGTTGCGGGGGCTGGGGCTGCTGTTAAGCTTGGAGAACGGGCGGGCAGTGGGATGCGGATTCGGCTGTCGGCGGGCGGTCGAGGGAGCGAATTGGGAAACGCTTTTGCAAAACTCCCGTCAGCCTCTCTCTCGCCTTCTCCCCCTGCCTCTCCCCTTCTGTCTTGTTTTGGACGTCAGCAGCAGCAGCAGCAGCAGCTGACCCTTTGATAGTTCTTATTGCATACGGTGTACACAGTCCCCTTTCCCTCCACAGGTGTGTATCCTTGCTCCGCTTCCTCCCCCTCCTCCCCCTCCTCCCCCTCCTCCCCCTCCTCCCCCGGCGCTCACTCCTGTCTCCCGGGCCCCGGGGCCCCCAAAGCCCTTCGCCCCGCTCCTGCCCGCTCGTGTGGTGGCGCCCGGCACCCCGGTGGGCCCCCTGGAGCCCCGGGCTGCCCGCGAGACCGGCCTGCCCCCCCACTGCCTGGTGTGCGGGGGGACGACGGACAGCATCGCGGCGTTTGTGGCAGCGGGCGTTACAGAGGTACGGTTGACGGTTGGTGGTTGGCGGAAATAACGGTTGTCGGCCAAGACGGTCTCAGTATAATGCATTGTTTTAGATTTGTATTGTTGTAGTATTATGTATCCTGACAGGAGGTATGAGATAATGGTAAGTGTAGATGGGGTGGCGTGGTGTGGGTGTGGGTGTGGTTATGGGTATGGTGGCGGAGGGTAAACCCCCGGGTCAGGCATTCCCCTCTCCTTCCCCCCTCCACATGTGCCCATCTCCTAGGCTTCATCATCCGTACGGAAGGATGTGTGTACGGAAGGAACGAACCTGTGTGTTTTTGTTTTGCAAAGCTCGGCCGGGAGAAGCGGAAGTGGCGGAGGGGGAATGGCGGGGCGCACTGGGGGCCAACTTCACCAATTGAATTGGTCCAGGGTTGTGTATGTGTGTGTGTGTGCGTGTGTGTGTGTCTGTATGTGTATGTGTGGATATTGTGCCGTACCGTAGGCGGGCCAAGCAGTGACGAGCCTGGGATCCACCCTGGCAGTCAAACTTCTGAGTACGACGAGGGTGGACGACGCGGCGTACGGCGTGTACAGCCATCGCCTGGGTAAGTCCTTGGCGACCTGTGTTGTCGTACAATACCCTACGCCATGCCCCTGCCCACCCCCTTCCCCTCCTGTCTCCTCCCCCAACATCGCCTCGCCTTCATCTGTCAGGGGACGTGTGGCTGGTTGGCGGGGCCAGTAACTCGGGTGGTGCCGTACTTCGCCGCTTCTTTACCGACCAACAGCTGCGGGAGCTGACGCCGCGGTTGGACCCGGACCGACCCACGGGTCTCGACTACTACCCGCTACCCTCTCCCGGCGAACGCTTCCCGGTGGCGGATCCCGACCTGCAGCCCCGCATGACACCGCGACCCGAGGATGATACGTTGTTCCTGCAGGGTGAGGTGTTGTCAGTTGGAAGTTGGTTTAGGTGGTTGGTCCAGAATGGGGTCTAATGCTGGGTTTGGATGCTGGGTTGAGATGTTCGTGTACGTCTTGCGTTCGTACGTTCGTACTATGTACGGTATATCGTGGTGCTATTGGGCTTTATGTAACAAGTGGTTGGTTGCCCTGCTAGTCAAGAACGCGATCTCTGTCTGTACGGATCACGTGTACGGCAGGGCTGCTGGAGGGGATCTCTCAGGTCGAGGCTGCGGCGTACGACAGGCTGGCGACCCTGGGCGCGTCACCACTCCGAGAGGTGCGGTGCTCAGAGGAATGCGGATTTACGACGTATTTGACGTATTTGTAGTATATATATGTATATATATTCTTGTACGACATTGTATGACAGACAGGATATTCCCCGCACGACAAGAGAGGCTTTCATACGTGCGTGCATATACACCAGCACTTGGCAAACTCAACCACACAATTGCGCACAAAAAGATTGTTGCTTTATACCACAACTATTTGCCGCCTGTTCTTAGCTCCAACCCGGCGGCACTGATATCGTGCTTTTCTCTTCGTGTATGTATGTATGTGTGTATGTGTGTATGTATGTATGTATGTATGTATGTATGTATGTATGTATGTATGTATGTATGTATGTATGTATGACGTTGATTACACTGTGGGCTGAAAAGCCGGGGGCCCAGGGCCGAAGCACAGCGCGGGGGGCGGGTGCATACGGCTGGTTAGTCTCATGCACTCCGCCCCCGGGTCAGGCCGCACGGGAAACGACGGCCGGCACGCAACAGCGCTTGTTTGGCGCTCCAACTAGACGGGATCTATGCCCGTTGGTCTCCTAACATAAACGAAGTCGCAACTGGGGGGCTCTTCCTGCCGACCGAACGAACCGAGCATCTCAGAGAGCTCGCTACCAGGACTTGGGCGACCGGGAGCCCGACGAGTCTTCCCGGGCTGGGGAGGTCACCAAGCTCAAAAATCCTCACGCAAAAAAGAGCGCAAAGAGCTCACACCACAAGACGCCAAACAGCCTCCTGAGACTACTACCCTCCTCCGCCTCTCCCTCCCTGGGCTAGTCCAGGGGAGATAGCCCCCGTCGAGGGGGTAACACCGCACAAGTCCGCGCCCTTCCACAGCACTGGGTCTAAATTGAAAAGTACTCAAACGGGAAGACCCTGCGGCAACGCAGGGCGATCAAGCCTCCGGAAACCACAGGGGGGGAGGGTAGCCAGCTCGGCGCCCCCCCAATACCGCTCTACCAAGACGGCTGGTTCGGGGATCCTCAG